GGACTATTATTTTTTATTTTCACTAGGTATTTTCTCCTCTCTTTTCCATCACTTTCTTTCAAGAACATCACTTTTTTGGAGAAGTGAGAAGCATGTAAATAATATTCTCCGGGAGTATCAATTATTTTTCTCGTGCTCTGAAATATCAATATCATATTTTGTACAGCTTGCCGTTTGTTTCCATCCCATGTTTCTCCATTTTACAAACAACGCAAAAGATCTTATTGAACATAGAGTTCATTTCGGAAACTTTTCAATTCATCCTCATACTTTATAGTTTTTAAACCTATTACAAAGTTAAAACGCTGGTATATTAATAAACATTGAAATATAAATATATTTTTTTAGATCTATTTACTTTTACTGATGGTACATATTACTGACACTAGTGGTTCACTTGAACTACTTCAAAATTTACGTTTTATTCTAGTATACTGCTCCATGACACTTGATTGCGACAGTGACAAATAGTGGCCATTAACAATAATCGATGTATTAATTTTTGATAAGTGTATTTATTGTCTTGTTTTTTTTTATTAGTATAAGGGATAATTTGGGCCTTAACGAGAGTATCTTAATATTTCCGAAGATTGGCCTTAAAAAAATAAATTATGAAGTAGTTTAAGTGATAAAATACTTATAAAATTGCATATATGTATAGTTAATTAGGTTTTTATTAATAATTTTAGTTATACCAAATATTATTTATCTTAATTTCAAATAACATTCATTTTTGTATACAAGGTGACATCATGATATAAAAAAGTCTTACTGAGTATACACCTTCATTTTTCTTTTTATAATATATGAGGCTTTATTTTTTATGTATTTTTCGTAATTACATCAATAATATTTTGAAAATAATTTGAACTTAATTTCATATATTGTTCAATTTCGTAAAGATGATCTCATACTGCGCTTAGCATTAAAATTTTACTCATGTACTTACGAGTTTCATCTATTAGTGAAAAACGGCAATAGATATACTTTTTATCAGTAGATATTCACTAGATAGAAAAAAATTTGGCAATTGCCGATGAACATTGTTAACTCTATTTAATTTCTTTTTCAGTTTTTTTATTATTTAAACACAGGTTATTCATTGCAGGTTTAATGGAATAGTGGTAAGATTAAAACTTATTTTTATAATATCTATGACATCCTATCAAAGTGATTTATTGCAATCAGAATCTTGGATGTTGAAGGATAAAAATCAACAGTTTGAAATTAAGTAGTGTCTAGTTTCAAACAAATATTTATAAAAAAAACCGTCAAAATTGTTTATCAAATTCTAAAAATAAATTATTAATTTTTTTCTAAAGATAGTTAATTAAATCATCCATATAAAGATAATTCCATGATCTGTCAATCATCTCAAAGTATTACAAATAAATATACATATAATAGAGATTTGGAATTTAAAAAAATTAAAAATCTCTAATTCCTCCTATGAAATTATGAAAATAAATGAAAACAAACCAAAGAAAACTTGAAAAAGCTGAGCAAAGAAATATGAATGTGTGTCTGAGCAGGAGTCAAACCTGGAACCTAACCAATTAGGCCACATGCGCTTTGATGTCCGAATTCGTAAACTTGAAGTAAATCAGTTTCAGGTTCCCATTGTTACACACAAATTCTCATCCCATCTCAGCTCTCTAAATTCTTCTTCAAGCCCCCTTTTTGACATCGTTTAGAAAGATAGTATATCTAAGATCAGAGAGCGCTGGGGCGCCGCCCTCCCTGCAAATTAATATTTCCATACACTTAATCAGTAATTTTATTTAACTCCTCCTAAATTTATTAAAAATAACAGAGCCAAATACAAATAAATGCAATAACAAAGTTTGTGAGCGAACAATAATTTAATTAGCTACAGACGAGCAGGACCTGTACAATACGAATGGGAATAATACGAAATGATAATAATAAAAAGCACTTTATTGGTTATGAATATTACAACCAAATGGGACAAGCTGTATGTGTAAGAAGAATACGAATATTATGATACTTAAAAAAAAACAATATATGTCACTAATTATTGTTAATCGGCAAATTCGTTTTAGATTTCTGTTATTGATCTCATTGGGTATTTAAACTTTGCTTGACCAATTTGTCGTTGCATCGGAAAAATGTTTATTAGCATGTGATTGTTTCGTTTCCTTGAGAATTTTTTTGACAGTTTTCTAATTCTTTCCAGGATAGACTGAATCTTAGATTTTTTGTAAAGATATTCATTCGCTGGATGGTGAGAGGGGTTTTCAGGATGTCGCATCTTGGTAATGATTCTTAGTGTAGAAGTTTCGGCCACTTGAATGTTTTTTAATGCATGTTTTCGGCAGTTGAAATATATAGTATGACCGTATTTCAGGAGAGGTCTGCAAATTTGTTTGTAGATTTTAATGGCCTTGTAGATGTTGATATTTTTTTTTTTTGTATGTTAAAGAGCGAAAATGTTTGGCTCTGGTTTTGATTTTGTTTTTTTGTCTGCGGGTGTGTTCATTGACGTTTAACTTATTATCAATAATAAGGCCTAGGTATTTTACTGAGAATACGGGATGGATTGGTTGGTTAGATATGATGAGTGTAGGTGATGTCAGTCTTAGATCATGATAGGGTATCATTAATTGACATTTTTGTGAGTTAACTTGTAATCTCCATTTATTGAGCCATTGAGCAACTTCGTTATATTAATTTTGTAGTTCTGTGATGGTTGGATTCAGCGTATTCCCATGCGATATCAAGGCCGTGTCATCTGTGTATTGGAATGTGTAATTTACTGCATTGAGGTGTAACTGACCTGAAAGAAAATCTAAGAAATATACGTATGTTGTAAAGGAGTGGAGATATTGGCGACCCTTGCGGTACACCTTGATTTGCTATGAAACTTGGAGATGTGTGGTTATTTATTTTAGCTCTTAGAGTTCTGTTTTGAAGGAAGTTTTTGATAAGAATTATAAGACCATCGGGCACATTAAGAAGTTTTAGTTTAAATAGGAGGCCGTTGTGCCAGACACAGTCAAAGGCTTTTTAATGCCCAACAGGAGAATGGCAGATTTTTTATTGTTCAATTTTGTTGTTTGCACATTGGAAACCAGCACAGTGGTTGGTACCAGAGCGGAGATTTGTTCTCTAAACCCAAATTGGAATTGCGGAATTCGTTCGTTTATTAATGCTGATAGTTTGACCTTAATAAGTTTTTCGAATAGGTTTCCCAAAACTGGAAGAAGGGTGATTGGTCTGTAATTATCAATTTTTTTTGTGGTCTGTGTCTGGTTTTGGGATAACTATGATGGTTGGTGTCTTTTTTCCATTGATCTGGAAAGTACGATTTTTTCTAACAGAATACAAACATTTTTATAACATAGATATGTATATTACATTCTAGTTTTTTAACAATTTGCCATGGGATCATGTCCGATCCTGGAACGGAGTTTTTCTGATTGGATAGTATTTGAAAGTATTTTCCCTCCTCGAATTCTGTGTTATCTTCCTCATTGATTGGGTTGTTTCTAAAATATTGTTTGCACCATGAGTTTACATTATTCCAGTTTTCTTGTTCAAAAGATGTGCCTTTCGTTTCGTTATATGTTTTAATGAAGTTCTCCTTGAATGCATCGGCCTTTTCTTCATCTGTGGCATAGTCTATACCAGCTGTACTCAACCTTGTTCTTTCGGGCCACATAAATCTGTTTGTTATGCTACACGGGCCACAATATGTTTGGGTGATATCCAGAGTTGCCACCTTTTTGAAATGTAAATGAAGCATAATGGGTGACTATAGGGATTCGCTTTAAATATTAAAAAAAAAATGGAAAAGATCCTCTGGTTGTTTTAGTTTACATATTTTCTAAAAAAAAAAAAAATATGCTTTGGGACAATTTGTTTCAAAAAAGGCCTGTAGGTCATTCCTAAACAACTTGGAGCGCCGCAGAAATCAACTTGGAGGGGCGCACAAAACAGCTTGGAGGGCCGCAGGTTGAGTATGACTGGTCTATACCATTGTCTGTGATATTTTGAATTTTATTTTATGATAGAAGTTTCTTCCCTGTTCTCGATTGATTTCTTGGCAGGTCTGTAGCCATGTGTGTTGCTGAAATTGTTTTACTAATTTTTGAATGTCTGTTAAAGTTGTTGATTTCCCGACTAGGGTTTTGCCTGTATTCTCTGAGCATTTCCCGTTTTGTTTTGATGAGTTTCACGATGTATCTAGAAAGTTCATAAGAAAATATTTGTTTGCAGTTTTTGGTGTGTTGTTTGTGATAATCTCGGAGACCTTTGTGTGAAAGTTATTGACTTCATTGGTAGTAATATTAGTGTTGTTTGTTGGTTTACTTCTTTATTTATTTTTTCAATGTTTGATTTATTGAAATGATATTTAAGAGGTGGGTCTGCAAAAGGAAAGGGCATTCCTTGCTCGATAGTAAACATTATAGAATGGTGGTCTGTCCCATTGTCGGGAATTACTTCTATATTCTTGATTGCGTTGCTAAGATTGTCAGTGTATATTAACAAATCTGGGGTGGAGTCCTCATTGTTGGGAGTATCCGCTTTAATAAAGTTTGTGTTATGCATAAAAGTTCGAATCTGTTTTTAATTTTTGAAGTCACCGATTAGCATAACATATTGAAATCTTCCTGTCATTCTGAAGATAGAATCGTCGGTTGAAGCATGTAGGTGGCTGTATATCAAAATAATGTGAAGTTCGTCATTGTTGAAACGGATACTGACGTGTAGAGCATCATTTCGGGGATTGTTTATGCGGAGCGGATTTTGTTTTCGCATTTTTAGCTTTGCATTTATTTGCATAAGTGATCCTCCTCATATATTTTAGTTTAGAATATTTCCGTCGTGTCTTACTTAATCCCAATTTCCATAGTTGGTGTTGGTTTCCGCCTTGGTTTTAGTTTCTACAAATAGGGCAGTCTATTAACTTTCTTTCTATCGTATAGTTCACTAAATATTTCTTTTGAAAGTAACTGTTTATATTAATGTATAATATTTTAATTTCGTTGTTGAATGTGAGCTACTTGCGATCCTGGTATAGTTTCAGTGTGAGATTCGAAGTTGTCTAGTTCCATGTCGAACATCAAGATGTAAATCCAGTTGTTTCCCACAAATGTTACAGTGGTATCTATTCTGTAATCCGCCATGAATCTTTTTCGTAGCCTTTCTATTAACTCCTCTCTGTTTATGTTTTTGGGTTTGTTTAGCTTTTGTACATAAGAATTTATTATTATGTCGTGAAGTGTTATTGGGGAGTGGATTCTGCTCATTTTCATATTGTCCTTAATTTGGTCAGATTTGTTATTTAATGTTTTTACTGGTAAGTTGGGAATTCTTGTTATTGGTTTTGTTGGTCTTTTAGGACATTTAAATGACCAAGCTTGATGATCTTCTGAGCCACATCCACTGCATTTTGGGGGTAGCGTAGTTGGACACTTGTTCGTGGAATGCGCTTCAGAACATTTGTTCCATTTCGTTGTTTCTGTGCAGTTTTTTGTTGAGTGGGAAAACTTCAAATAGTTATTGCAAGGCATTGGGGGTGGCGGAGAGCTCGTATAGACAGCATAATGGCGGGATTTGTAATTTACTCATTTTAAAGAGAGTTCCGAAAAAAATTTCTTAAAGCAGTTACGATAAGATATTTGAATAAAAGGTGATATTTTTACTTCAGAAATACCCTTAAGTATCCCTTGATTTCAACTTTACAAAAATATTCTTGGTTGTGTTTATTGCTTGTACGAACCGTGAGACGGCTCACTGGGAAATCTACCGGTTTCGCGGTAGGCCCATTCGCCCCTACTAAGTGGTTAGTCGTCCGAGGTTCCAGGTTTGACTCCCGGGGTAGAATTCTCCAGTCTCGCATGAAAATTGTCGCACACGGCAAATGTCGCATACCAAATTCTCATGGTTGTTAAAAATCGTATTCTCGAAAAAAAAAAGTGAATCTAAAATCACAAGCGAGAAATAATGAGAAGGATTTTATGTTTCAACGTAGGAAATTATGTCATCTGTCAACATTAGTGGATGTTCTGTTTATTTATTAGAGCCCCTCTATGCTAAGAAATTTAGACAATTTTGAAGCAAATAGCAGAACTTCTTAAAAACTGCGATTTTTTTTATAAATATGGAAGAACACTAATATTGTAATGCAAATCAGAAAATGAAATATTAAAATTTGTCACGAAAACATCCTGCTGATACTCTACTTGGGGCGTTATAATATGCTAGTTACAATATCTATCAAGAGCCGTATTGATTTCTTAGAAAGTCGAAAATGCTTGATACATAACACATCATTAATTCAAAAGAGATTTTTATAAACAAACTTCTTCCTTCTATGCTGTCACTCTTTAATGTTTTGATTTTCAACAGTCAGTAAATGTTCATTTCATCAAAATCTGCCACATCCATTTTTACGGTCCACAAAGTCGCATACGAAGCTAAATTCGAGCACTTTAGACCACTCGTGTTGAATTCACCTGACATTTGTCGTATGTTGTTTTCGAGAATACACTTTTTTAAAATCATCTAGTTGCTATTCGACATTTCACTAATCTCGCATGCGAATCGAGGTATTCGACATTCTAGAATACCACCCCCCGGTCTGGCATTTTATTTTTTTTTTCTTCTTTAATTCTCAGCATTTTAAATTTTTCTTTGGTTTGTTTTCACTTTGGGAATATTTATAAGGGTGTAATTTTCATAATTTCGTAGGGGGAATTAGGGATTTTTCATTTTTAGAATTTCCAAATCTGCATTTATACTTTCGGATCCAAACCGACTTTCTTTAAATACAAAATCTTTCGTGATATTAACTAACTTTTTGTTTAAAAACGTTGTTGATTAATATTTTCAGACAATTGCTGAAGGTGTTAGAAATTTATTTCATAATCGAAAATAAAACATGTGAATCTCGAATAAAAAAAAAATCTAACTAACCAATAACAAATCTAAAAGTACACAAATTACAGAAAGAGTAAAGTATCTTTTTGTGTAATATATATCACAGTTAAAACGTGAACTCTTTGAGTGTGTACATTAACTAGTCAGTGTATATTAAATTGGGCACTGACGATATTGACCGGACACTAACGTCAGCAGAATTCCCAATCAAATAGAAGATTTACGAAAATAACCGGCCAATATCGTTAAAGACCGAAATATCATCTTTGACTGTAACATATACAATGACTACATTTTTAATAGCAGAGGAGCCCACGATGCTAAATGGGGATTTACTCGAGCGTCATAGAGACCTATTGGGTTGCAAAGCTTAGATGATAAGAAGAAAAAAATTTCATATAATATATACCTTTTCATTGGTGGGGGAAGCGGCAATAGATTTTTAAATATGTAAAAAAATACTGTTGCATGGACATACTCGAGCCCGTCAGATATTGATAGCATCAATATCTTACGTACTTTTAATAATGTACGTATATTAATCTGATCATTTGCATGTTGCAAGTGGTTGTACGTAAGGGTTGAAAAAAAATTGATTATCAGAAATACTCCAGCGGTCAGATTAAGATATATATGGTTCATCTTTATGTCCCAGACGTGCTGTATTATAATCTGACGATTATATAGAGGGATTCGCCTAATCTGACAAAAAAAAAATTTAATCATTGAACTTAGTTGAATCTTGTGCGTAACACTTGCTGGAGTAACTCCGATTCACTGGGTGGCAAATTGAACGCATCCTAATTCCGGACACTCAAGGAGAAGGGTTATGATTTGTCTTTTACCTTGTACGTCTTATTGAAGATGACAATCCTGGCTTGATTGACATCGTCTAACTTTTTCAACCCATACAAGTGGCAAGTAAATCTTGCACATTATGCTCCTTTGATTCCAAATCCAGAAATGCTACTTGGAAAATTTATGAATTCATCAGAAAATGCGAAGATTTTTTTCCCTCGTCGGTACAATGCTGAGTTGAAATCGTAACCAGTGAACGCATGCACAGCTGGAAGCGCCTTCGAAATTTGTGGGCCTAATTTTTTGTAGAGAGCGGATACGTCGATGAATCGGCGTGCATTGCTAACTCCAAGATCCATCCAAACTTCTACTCTTGCTTGCAGGTGTTCCATATTCGCTAACATGATGACCACTATGTCACTACGTCACTCTCAAATTGTCAGATTAGTGGAATATACACTTTTTAGCATGTAATTAACTCACCCTACCTTAATCTGACGCGCTCGAGAATTTCTGATAATCAATTTTTTTTACTAATCTGATCCTTTATCCTTCACGGGCGGCCTTACATATGGGGCTCATATTTGGTGGATGGTGGAGGTACTTAACTGGGTACAAGGTATCCCCCTGTATATTAATCTGCCGTGCCTTAGTAAATCCCGAAATCCCAGCTTGGGCTCCCCTATTATAAGTACTCGTATCAGCATTCAATTTAGTTAGCTTTTTTAATTTTAAAATTTATGGCCGGTTAGCTAGACTGATTTAGATTTTCAGTTCACACTTTAACTAGTAAATACATGCAAATGTAAAATCTTGTGTATTTACGATAAAATCTTGAAAAATAACATTATTTTGAATTCGTTTCACTGTAATTTTTTGTAAATAACATTTTAATAATATATTATTGCATAGATACCAACATAGAAACTGAAACTTTTGATACGTTTTATACCAGAAACACCATTTTATTGCCGACAACTAGATTTATTAAAAACTTACACATCTTAGCTTAGAAAATTGTTTTATAAAATATGGTTATAATAAATCGTTCTGGTGAACAACAAGGAAATATTTTGTTCATAACCTGCATTGAATAATCGCAGTTATTGTTTTCCCATTATTATGAAATTCAGACTCTTTGCATATAATTATTCAAAATTTCGAAAATCAAAAATATAAATAAATGTAAATATGTTTTATTAGAAAAACAAATTTGAAAAAATGAAAGTGCCTTTTGAATAATTCATAAACAGAAAATTTACATTTAAGGTATTTTGCATGACCTCCGTATAATTTCTTCTATTTTACTATTTAAAAAGGGAGTTAAGTAAAATTTTGGGTAAATCGTTATTTGTATTAGTTATGGGTCGCTCACAAATGTCCACAGACAAGTCCGATGGGCTAGTCTAAAACCAAAGATATATAGGGTGTTACTTAATGATATGCGAATATTTAAGGGTGTGAATCTTGATGAAAAATTAATGATAGTTTGCTTTATAAACTATAGTCCAAAAATGTTTCGTTACGAAAATAAAGGGTGCTAAAGTTTTAAAAATAAAAAAGGAAAATAATATTTTCATAACCGCTTGAGATATTTCATTGATATTTAATATTCAGTGACAGTTAATAATGGTGTAAATTTTTCAATACAAAAATAATTTTCAGCTTTAACAGTGGGGTGCGCGTACGGGCACTAGCCTCAATATTTTTGAAGAAAAAAATGGTACGCCAATGGTTTACCCAAATAAAAATTATTTTTAAATTCCAGTTAAATTTTTTATTATTTGTTTTCCTACATTGCTCCGTTTTTTGAGTAAAAAAATAAAAACTTATATTGTCCGAGAAAATTAATGTAATTATTGAAGAATTGACATTTGGACCATCCTATCCTACTAATAAATGCAAAAGTTTGGATGTATAGATGGATGGATGTTTGTTGCTCAGTCACGCAAGAACGCTGACGGATCTGGATGCAGTTTGGCACAAAGATAGATTCTAGTCTGGAATCGCACATAGGCTACTTTTTATCCCGGAAAAATATACGGTTCCCGCGGGATAGATTTGCTATTGTTTTTCACATACGAGGTAAGCGCCAATAATTCTCGGCCTGACATAGTTGCAGATATTTTATCAGGATAATTTTTATAACTACAAACCTTAGTAGGCTGTGATAACAAAATAAGCGACTTACGTCAAATAGTTTTTAATTGTCAGCATTTTGAACTAAAGCATCTCCGAAAATGTCTCAGGTGACGAAAATTGAGTACAGAGCGGTTATTAAATTTTTAACAAAAGAAGGGCTTACACCTAAAATTATTAAAGAAAGACTCGATGGCGTATATGGCCAAAGTTCCCTTTCCTATTCGGTAGTGAAGGAATGGGCAAAACGTTTTCGCATGGGTCGGGAATCCCTTGAAGATGACGAAAGACCTGGACGGCCAGTGGAGGTGATAACGGAGGATAAAGTGGCCCTTGTGGAAAACCTGGTGCTAAGTGACCGACGTTTGAAGGTCAAGAAATTGGCAGAAATTACCAAGCTTTCTGATACCACTGTTCGCCGAATCCTCCATGATCATTTGGGTATGTAGAAGGTTAGTGCAAGATGGGTGCCCAAACACCTTTCGGCGATTCAGAAGCAACGTCGTGTCGAGTGTGCTCGATCGTTTTTGGAACTGTGTGGAAATTATCCGAACCCCGTTTTGGAAACAATAGTCACTGGAGATAAAACTATGGTTCTTTATTATGATCCTCTGTCGAAAAGGGAATCAATGGAGTGGCGCCGTAAGGGTGAAGCCCCCCCCCCCACGAAAATTTAGAGTCTGCCGATCAACGG